CCCCCCCCCCTTTACTTTTACACAATTTATCTTGTCGCAGGTTTAATTAGAACTCTATAAAACTTTTCTGCCCAACAATCTGCACTCATCAACCATGAAGATACAATTAAAACATGTGTAAATGTATTAATAATCTAAAACAAATGACTGTCTTTGAGAAAAGTAATCAGACCCTTGACTCAGTACTTTATGAAAGCACAGTAGGCAGATCCTCTCCAGCTCCATCACATTGGATGGGAAGCATTGCTGAGTGTTTCTAATCATGTCTCACTACAGATTAAACTCTCTGGCTTTGGATGGAGCCTTTTCAACCAAGCCAGTTCAGAGTCAGAGCAAAAATCTTGAACCGGTTCTTAGCATTTCGACAGCCAGAGAAACTGGTTTGACTCTGGCACCAACTCTTTGTTGGAGAAAGATCTGTGGATGATTGAGACCAGCCAAGATATTGCGACCAAGACTTAAAAAAAAAAAGTGAGCATGTGTCATCTGCCAAGATGGTTGAATAATTTTTTTTTAATGCTTTGTTTGCTTTAAACTGGCGCTTGTGTTCCTGGGAAATCAGAGTTGTAGAGATATTGATGTAGTGCACTGTGAATTAATGATGTGGCTCCGTGGTGGTGTGTGTGTGAGAGAGTGAGTGAGTGGTTGTTTGGCTGCATTCTTCCTTCACTTGGTTCTGAGATGCAGCCCCACAGCATAATGCCACCAACATGCCAACATGCCTCACTGTAGGGATGGTATGAGCCAAGTAATGAGCAGTGGCTGGTGTTTGCTGCAGCTTAGAGATCTCCTCATGCTCTGTTTTAAACTAACAGTTTTAAACTAACAGTTTAAAACAGAGCATACCGTTTTACAAACTCCAAGCAGGTTGTCATGTGCTTTTCACCCAAATTAGCCTCTGTCCAGCCACTCTACCTCAAACGCCTCGTTGTCAGAGGCCATCCTGAGACAATCATTCCTTCAGTGTGGCTGAGCAACCTTCTCCAGGAAGAGACCTGGTGGTTCCAAACCTCTTCCACTTCAGTTACTGAGACTGCTGTTCTCCTGGGAGACTCTTGGTGGCTGCCCTGGCTCTAAGAACAATCAGAAGGCCAAGTTGGGATGATACAGTGGAGCGTTATAAGAGGAGACAGTTTTTCATGACTCATGAGATAAGTGACGAGTCAGCTTTTCAACACTTGCCCCCTAAACTCAAGAGAGAGCTCACCCAAGTCATGCTGAAGTATGATGATGCACAGTGCAGCATAGAGAATATGATCAACTAGACTTTAATTGCATCACAACTACAATATACACTGTTTCATTCTTGTGATGTTCATGCTACTATGATGCAGCCTTTTTAAATACCTCATTTTATATACTACTATTTTTGAGACAGTGGGTTTTTCTTCACCAGACTGGAGGAGTGGCCATGTAATGAAACTATGGTTAATAAGGTTCAAAATTGGGAGATGAAGTATTTTGACATGGTTGCCTGCAGACTGCTAATGCAGGGCTGTGTGGCTCTTAGGGCTGAGGAATCTTAAGCTGCTGTAGCATCATCATTCTATTTTCAAAGTAAAGTGTTGAATACATTTCATATTCAGGATACCACATTTATTTCAGATCCACTTTTTTGAAATTGATTTGAGCACTTATCATAACTATAGATTGTGGATCCTCCCACAATGGTATCTCTGGGCAATACATTCAATTCTTATCTATCTTGTGTAATTCCTGTCAAATAGTTCCTGGTGGTTTCACAGCGGTAGTTTTTCTCAATTTTCTGCTGCGTTCTTTGGAACATCGAGACACTGACTGATTTCTCTGTGACCTGACGTAAACGTTGTTGCGCATCGGAGCTAAACGGCACGGACACAAATAAGTTTCTCGACATGTTGAATGACGAACTGTCTCATCTCTGCTGCAGGGGGGAATGCAGCGTGGAGTCGGACACCTGCCAGGTGGCTGCAAGAAAACAATGGGGCTGCACTGCATCTTGATCCTGTGCTTAGTCTCAAGCTGCATCGCGGGCTTCAAGCAGGGGGACAACGTGACTATCTTTGTCAACAAAGTGGGCCCTTACCATAACCCCCAAGAGACGTATCACTACTACACCCTGCCGGTCTGCAGGCCAGAGAAGGTCAGTCGGTTTCACAGTGTTCTGGACGGTTGTAACAAACAGAACAAATGTCAAATTGCATGTTATCAAACTTTGAATAATGTCATAACAGATATTTTTTCATTTAATGTGATTAACTTATGTTTACTTGTGGCCTGTGTTTGGCTGTTGGGAGATTACATCTGCCAACATTAAGAAGTCACTTTTCTCAAGATTTAATTCATGGGTGTTGATGATGGACACACATGAGCCCAACATTACAATAGTAATAACTTATTATCCACCACTATATGATATAATACTTCAACGAGGAGCGTTGTAGTGTGACTCTATTAATGCTGTTTTCACTGTCGTTCACACCCTGTGCTTTGTTGTAATGTTTCTCCCTCAGGTACACCACAAGTCCCTGAGTCTGGGAGAAGTGTTGGATGGTGACAGGATGGCAGAGTCTTTATATCACATCCGCTTCAGAGAGAATGTGGAGAAAAAGACTCTTTGTCAACTCACTCTTTCAGAGAAACAGGTATTTGTGTCTTTAGAACATTCTAATTAAAACCAAATGAAAACATCATAAATTAAGAAAAATATTAATCCTCTAGGAGCTGAGTCACAGATCAGTCAGTGGATGGTGGATGTTGACCATTTAATATACGTACTTTTTCAAATCCTGTCATTTTTTTAAATCATCACAAATCAATTCTTCAAATAAATGGATCCCTCTGCTAACAATCTACTTATAAAATATCAAGTGTTATATGATTAAAATGCTAAACCAGTGACTTTTATTTAAATATCTGAACTCCCTTATAGTGTTTGCTTGTATCGCTAACCTCACACAGGGTTATATTATCTCAGGAATTTGTATTGGTGTAAACATTTCTGTATGATCTAAAATAGATCCTGCAGGAAGGGGAGTTTGTAGCAGAGCAGGTTCTTCCTGTATGTGTTGTCGGCTAAGGGGCGGAACAGCAGCATCACTAATAAGTGAAGCTGACCGTATATGAATTCCTCTAATATTCTAATTACTTTTCATTTATTTAATCATAAGGGCATTTATCATTTATCAAAATTTCTGTAAATGTGCCAATGTTACCCATCTGGTTCATTTTCAACTGCAGTGCTTTGTCCTTATGTTTTTAAAAATCCAAATGCAAAAGAAAAAACACCATAAAAGACGACAATAGCATGAAGTGAGAGTTGACAAGACACAAGGCTTGGTTCTCCCTCTCAATGAACCTCTGGCTGGGTTCAGTGGTCTGGATCCAGGGGATAGAGTGGGTAGTTTAGGTTGTAATTGGACGCTGTCTGCTCTGTATCATTGATCATAAAGCATGTGTGTTCCACTGTGTATTTTCTGTGTGTTAGGTGGACCAGCTTCGAGAGGCCATCGAGGAGCTGTACTACTTTGAATTTGTCCTGGATGACATTCCAATCTGGGGTTTTGTGGGATACATTGAAGAGAGCGGCTTTCTGCCTCACAGCCACAAGGTAAACCTGTTGTGCCACTGATGGTTTGTGGGATATGTGGAGCGGACTGAAAGGCGTGAGAGTGATACTGTCGCTGATCCTGTCTCTCTGCCTCCAGGTGGGTTTGTGGACTCACCTCGACTTCAACATCGAGTACAACAGTGACTCTGTGATCTTCGCCAATGTCTCAGTAAAAGACGTCAAACCCGTTCCCCTGGAGGAGGGGGCGGGTGCAGCGGTAGGTGGCGTTGGTTTGGGCGGAGGCAGCCTGACCGTCACCCACACTTACAGCGTGCACTGGTTCGAGTCCCCACTGCCTCATGCGCGGAGAGCCGAGCGCCTCCGGGACTACTCATTCTTTCCCAAAACGCTGGAGATCCACTGGCTGTCCATCATCAACTCGCTGGTGCTGGTGGTGCTGCTGCTGGGCTTCGTCATCATCATCCTCATGCGGGTCCTCAAGAATGACTTTGCCAGGTCAGTTTGCAAAGCAGCTCCAAAAAAGTCAGTTCAGTTGGTTATGAATGGTCGAATGCATTTATGTGTATGATCTAAATTTTATACAGATACAACGTGGAGGAGGAGGGCGGCTGTGATGATCTGGACCAGGGAGACAACGGCTGGAAGATCATACACACTGATGTCTTCAGGTTTCCCCCTTACAAAAGCCTACTGTGTGCTGTGCTGGGAGTGGGGGCCCAGTTCCTTACCCTGGCCACGGGTGAGTACACAAACACAGCAACACACACACACACACACACTGCTCTGTTAAATTCCAAAACAGTATCAGCACCACTATTGTTCTTTTTGAAAATTGAGCAGACTAGTTTTTACCCGTAGCAACCTTCTTTGTACTCAAGCCTGATAAAAGAATGCATGTACACACCTCAGATGCAAATGCCACCCTAATGTCGCTGCATCTTTCCAGGGATCATCATCATGGCACTGTTGGGAATGTTCAACGTACATCGCCACGGCGCCATCAACTCAGCAGCTATTGTCCTGTACGCTCTGACCAGCTGTGTGTCGGGCTATGTGTCTTGTAGCTTCTACACGCAGATCAATGGCCAGCGCTGGGTGTGGAACATCATCCTCACCTCCTCTCTCTTTTCTGGTGAGTCTGATGTGAAGGGTTCGTCACCATGTATCACTTTGGTTGCAAGAGCAGGGTTGAACTTGAACGTGTTCAGGTGCTTTATTCAGTTGTATTTTAATTATTAAAAGCACTGATATGATGCGTCATTTTCATCAACACTAATATCAGCAGAATCATCTCAAAGAATTCAAAATGTCTGATTTTAAGTCACTTGATCCTTCAACCCCACAGCTCCTCTTTTCCTGACGTGGAGCATCGTGAACTCCATCCACTGGTGGAGCGGCTCCACTCAGGCTCTGCCGGCCTCCACCGTGTTCCTCCTGCTGGGTGCCTGGGTGCTGGTGGGCTTCCCCCTCACAATCATCGGAGGCATCGTGGGGAAGAACCGAGCCGGAAACTTCCAGGCACCCTGCCGCACTCGCAACATCGCCAGACAAATCCCCACACAGCCGTGGTACAAACACACAGCTGTGCACATGGCCATCGGCGGCTTCCTGCCGTTCAGGTGAGCCGGCGTCCAGTGTGAAGAACCAAGTGATGCTATAATGAAGGAGATCAGTGAACCTACTCCAAATTACATTAAATCAATGTGAACTATTTAAGTGGAAAGTTGGAGCTCATTATTACTTATGTTTGGCAGAAATTATCTGGATGAATGAGATTTTATGTTCCCTACAATTTTGGGAAAAGTACAGCTCTTTGAATTCAATTTTTCATCACACTATTGCTCCTTCAATTTTCCCTCAGCGCCATCTCAGTGGAGCTGTACTACATCTTCGCCACCGTGTGGGGTCGTGAGCACTACACCCTCTACGGCATCCTGCTGTGTGTCTACGCCATCCTCCTCTCGGTGGGCGCCTGCATCTCTGTGGCCCTCACCTACTTCCTGCTGTCGGGCGAGGACTACCGATGGTGGTGGCGGAGCGTGCTCAGCACAGGCTCCACCGGCCTCTTCATCTTCGTCTACTCGGTCTTCTACTACCACAACCGGTCGTCTATGAGTGGCCTGGTTCAGAGCACAGAGTTCTTTGGCTACTCTCTGCTCACGGCGTTCGTCTTCTCGCTGATGCTGGGCAGCGTTTCCTTCTGGGCCTCGCTGGCATTTATTCGATACATCTACCATAGCCTCAAGATGGACTAGACTTGAAATATGCTCACACGCACACGGCTCTAAACGAACATTTCCTCAAAGCACACACAGACAATCTTCATTCTCCTCTCTTGCTCTCTGTCACACCCAGAGAAACACTTGCCTGGTTAATAGGAGGAGAAACAGGGGCCTTTTACCCTTGATTTGAACTGTAGGAGATATTGATATTATGGGATGGATGGATAAATAAAGGGAAAATCATCAGGAGGTGGTTGTGAAATTATTCAGTGAAATTCATCATTGAATGATGCAGCCTGGCATAATCCGCTCTGATGTACTTCATGGTACAAGTACTTGACTTAATTTTACCGCAATACAGAACTCATACTAGTTTACTTTCCATTTTCTAGCAGTACCCCCCGCACACACTTATGATTACATCAGGCTACTCAAACATGAAAGACAAACACATTTTGCACTGGTGCTGTAGGTGCGTGGCTCTCCGGTGAAAAACATGAACGTTGCCTTGTAGATTTAAGAGCTGCTGCAGTATGTTGGTGATGGGAGCAATATTGTCATTGTACGTTTTGGTGACCATTGACTGATTTTTGTTTCTATTGTAAATATTGTCTTTTCAATAAAGTGCTTTATAATACAATACCAGCAAACAACTTCAGGCTGATTATTTTAACCCAGGACTTTTCAATGTGCTCTTGTAAGGATTTTTCCGATTCTACTTTTAGCCTTTTTTTAGCCAACTAGGGCTGGATGAACAATCAATTATTGGAATATAATATCAATATAACAATGGTTCAATAAATAGATTCGGTGCAAAACACATCTTAAAACTAAACTTTGCGTTGACTTGATATAATCCTTGACCATAAAGGAAGCACCAATTATCACAAGCCTACATTATGTAAGATTTAAATTCTACTCTGTTTATTACAAGAAGCATTTAGCATACAGAGTTTAGCGATGTCACAACAGATGTTAGCATTTAGCAACTAATGGCAAAGATGCCAGGCCATCTGTTCAGTTTATTCCACCAAAAATTAGAGAAAGAAAGATAGCATAACCCTATCATCATTGTGCTCATAACAAAAACACTCAGTGAAATGAAGACAAATGTTTCAGGTTGCTGGATTGAACGTGTATTTATAGAAAAAAAGTGTTGAAATGTGTACACGTCTGATCTGTATCAGAACCTGCCCTTAAACCGTTCAAAAAAATATATATGTAAAAAAAAAAAAACTGTAATACAAGAATGTGTCCAAACTGGACCCATCGAGTATCACCAAGCGCAAAGAACACACCAACATACATTAAATAGTTGCATATAAAAATAAAACTCAGATAAAAACAGTAAAATACACTGATCAGGAGTATGAACAAGGAATATGTACACCCAGCCTGTCAAAACCAGCCCAGTCCTGCGAAATACATTCACGAAAGTTGAAGAGAAAGATGCAAACATAGCTGTCGGGTACCATTCAGAGAAAAGCTAATGTACATGCATGACTAGGCTGGTGTTTTGTACCATGAGTTTTGCACCACAAGTATTTCAAAGAGCTTCAGCTGTTGACAGACTCCTCGTCTTTGGTTTCGAAGCTCGTATTGTGTCCGGTGTTGATTGACGTGGATGCATTGTATGCATTGGGGTTGTATTCATAATGGTTGATGCCCGGCGGCATGGACCAGCCGGTTGTTTGGGGCCTGGTGGGCATTGAGTTCTGGGAAGAAGCGGTGGACCAGGAGGGGTAGCCAGCGGACCCTGGGGTGCCACCCATAGCAGCCAGGTAGAAGGCCAGGTTCTGTGGGGTCGCCTTCATCATGTGCTGGTTGTAATGCTCCTTGAGCTGGGACTGGGCCTCTCCCCGATACTGAAAATCACATCACATGCGTTCAGTATCACAACTTCTCTGCTTTTTCTGATTTGAATCATATCAAAAGGTTTTCCTCAGACTTGGATAATTCTTGTTGAGAATAACACGAGGATGTGTATGCACACAAACAAATTGTTCTGCTACAAATAACAGGAACTACTTACAGGTGGGATGTGTGGGGGAATGTTGTTGTACATGGTTCCGTGAACTGGGCCGTCCTTGTTGAGCGTGTAGCGCTCAGACACCCAGCTGGTGTCTTTCTGGTGCCTTTTCAGCTTCACCCTCCGGTTCTGAAACCAAGTCTTCACCTACAAAGCAGATGAAGAAGGTCGCAGCTGATCAGGAAGTGTACATTGATTTTTATGCATCTACGATCCAGTACATGTCATCATGATCAGGTCCACCTCACCTGTTGGTAAGTCAGGCCAGTCAGTTCTGCCAGATTCTTCATTTCGGCCGGGGTGAGGTACCTCTGAACCCTGAAGCGCTGGACCAGAGTATTCATCTGACTCTCTGAGAAGGCTGCCCGCACCTTTCCTTTAGGTTTGTTTACAGCAGGAGGGCTTGGTTTATCAGGGACAGCCAAGGGCACGTGAAGAGGGGCGATGTCGTCTGCAACCTCGTTCCCTGCCACAGCGAATGGATGAGGCTCCTCCACATGAGAGCTGGAAATGTCCTTGCTGGAAATGGGGCTCCTGTCGCGCACCTCACTTTCAAGATCTCCCTTTACCCAAGTAGCAGGGTCTGCTTGGGGCAAACCTCCTTCCCTGCTGCTGCTACTGCTTGAACTCCATGAGTCTGGGCAATGGGACAAAATATTGAGATGAGACGTTTGTTAGTTGGAGCGAGACTGTGCACAAAACTACAGAGCTGGTTTGGGTGATTGACCCACAATTTTCGAGAGATCTTGGTAGGTGGCAAAATCAGACATGTTTTAGGAACTTCAATTTGGTGCAGTTTGATTGGATTTGTCTGGCCTTGGTAGAATGTGTGCTCTATTGCCATTGTAGTTTTACACAAAACTAACTAACAAACTTCGGTCGGTTTTATTGCTTTGAATCTGACATATCTACAGTTTCAGATAGAGATTGGGCTTTCTCTGGTTTTGCTCCCCCGTGGCTGACATACCTGGTGAGGTGTGCGCCTCAGAGTCACTGGTGGAGTCGCTCCCGACCCGTCCGACTCCATCTGCTCGCGCGTCATCGTACGCAGCCCGGTGCGGCCTTGCCAGGAGCAGGCGGCCCGCCTGGGCGTCACCGAGGTAGACGACCCCGGAGCCCTGGTAGTGGTGGTGGCCGCTGGCTGCGTGCTGCTGCTGCTCCGGACTGCCCGGCGGTGACTCCTCCCGGGCTCTGGCGGTGGAGGTGTAGTAGGCCTGCGGCACCCCGGCGCTGTAGTTGCTCAGGTCGGTGACTCCGGCGTCGCTCCAGCAGCCCAGGTGGTTCCCGTGGTTCTGCTCGGGCCCGGGCTGGTACACGAGGCCGTAGGCATATGCATGGTACGAGGGGTTGTACTTGTAGCCGATCTGCGTCTTCCAGTCCGTCATGTTCTTTATTTTAGCGTCACGATGTGAACGATGGAGGATTGTTGCCAAGATCGCTTCAAATTCAAGCGACACAAAGCTGCGGGACCTTCCGGGCGAACACGCGCAGACCAACCAGAGGTTAAAGGTGACGCACTCACCTGGAGCGTGTTTATACAGGCGCGTGTGGGCGTACACAGGTAGAGAGGTGGGTGTATGATTATAACCAATCACACGGCGGCTGTGAGCCCATTTGATTGGCCACTCAAGTTCATACGATGGTTTCAAATGCTGTTACAAGTTTGTGGACAAAAAGGAAGAAAAGTTTTTAGACCAGATAAAAAATATCAACTATTTTAAATGTACCTTCTTATTTGTATCACTGGAGTGAGCTTAAACTATTTATAAGAAATACTGGATACTGTATCTTGAGGCCCTGTGTTGAAGAGTGTTAAAAAATCTGATTCATATATACATTTTTACATTTATTTTGATAATTGACAACTTTGTTTTTATTGAACATGATGAACAACATGATCCAAGGAACTGGTGTCAAATGTATTAGTTCTGTCTCTACTATAGTACCTTCTTGTCATCAGTTTATACTGAATTCGATTTCATTTTTCATTTGGGTTTATTTTCCCATAATAATTTAATTCAATTGTCAACATTAACTGTGTTGTCAGCACACAGGCTCTAGTGTCTGTTAAATCCCTTAATGACATGATTAATTATGCTTTAATGAGATGTACTCTCCTAAACTAAAAGCATGAATAGTTTAAAAACCACTAAAAGTTATTGTAAACAATCCAACTTTTATTCTAAGGCAGTGTGAGCACTTATTTACGGGCTGTTTGATAAGAGGAAACATTTAGCCTCTAATTTAAAGATTTAAAACATTATTTGATGGTTTTATTTTTGCACTTATGTGCAATGACTGTATCTTCAAATCCCAGCAGGCCTCCATCGGATTCAGTGGGTTGAACATGTTGATGCATAGACATTTGCAGTCGTTTTCACAAAGATGAGGTAGATCAGCCTGCACGTTACCATCGAATCAGCTTTGTGTTCAACCCTGGGTGTGTTGATGTGATAATGATTCAGTTAGTGGCGACATTATGTGAGAACAGTAGCTCTAATGGGTACATTAGCATTTCTACTGATCTCTGGGTGTGTTTGTGTGATGTCGTACGAGCACAAACATGTGGGGGGTGGTGGTGGTGGAGGTATAGGGCTGAATGGAGGATGGGTAAACAAGTGTGCAGTGCATTAGAGCTGGTATGTGTTGATAAGACTTAAGCTTTACCTTTGAAGATCACACTACAGAATATGTTGCAATAGCTAAACAATTGTGTAATTTTAATTGCATTATACTTGTATGTATTATTTGTATATCTGTGTTGTTTTTTGTACTATCATGGCAAGAACCATAGAATATTAACATACAATATTTACCCCCTTGTGCTAATAAGCAGGATTTTGAATTCCACCAAAAAATGTGTGCTGAATTCCCCCTCTTGCATTTCTCAGAAAATGAATTTATCTTCTCTGGTGTTCCTTTCTTCTACAGGCTGAGAGCAGATCAGTCAGTTAAGATGTGTTGATGTGTGTAATGGGTGTGGGTTTTGTGAAATGTGAAGCTATCAGTCTCTTGTTTGTTGTCTTGATGCTTGCAAATGACCTCTTAAAAGTCTGCCTTTTAAAAACAGATCATGGAGTCCCACCCTTCCCCAGGCAACCTTGACCTGCTACTTTCTTCACAGTATGACAGACACATAGTATTCTGATTTAAATCAGAGGACGTTTTAATCACATGGTAAAGAGCAATACCACAATGGAAAGATGCAAGAAGATCAGGTTTGTTTACACTATCATGGTCTGCTACTTCAATTACGCTTCAATATTAAGATGCATTATATTACATGTGCATTTCTAATTCTCATCCTTACTTATACAGTTGAGAATATTCTGTTATGTTCCAACCTTATGCTTAAATTGTTTGACTAAATAACCCCTTATAAATTTACAGTCAATATCCAATAAGGAAAAGAACTAAAAAGTAAAGGTCTGAGATATTTATCATTAAAAATATGTGAGAAATGTTGATCCAGCCTCTGAAATGTGAGCACAACAATTCTGACCATGAAAAATTGTGACATTTTTTACTTTTCCCACAAGTAATGAATAATGAAGAGTAGCTGGGATATGTTTATTAATGGAAATGACTCAAATATCAAAAAGTAATATGAGCAGCTGTATCATCCACAAATGTAGAGGAATGGACAGTGCAATATTTCGCAAATAGATAGATAGATAGGATTTAAAAAAAGTAATAATTAAGTAAAATAATGTTGCAGAAGTTCACTAAATGAGTCTTTAAACTTCACACGTCTGTGTATTAGGGATCTTCTTCTTTTTCTCATTTAGTGTCTGAACGAGTTGTGCTGGGACCTCCTGTCCAGCTGAGGGCGCTGTTTGTTGCCACCCGGCCGAAGACTCGCGGGTCCCTTTAACTTATCCCACGAGCGGCTCGTGTCAGCCTCTGTCCCTCGTGTCGGTTCGAGCAGGACGTGTCTGTCAGCTTCACCTCATCGGCTCCTCTCCTCCACAACACACCTGACCCTCCAAGAAGTTTTACAAAGTGAACGTTAACTCGGCTGATCGCGGTCGAACCGAGCCACAGAGGAAGTGCAGTGACAGTTGTTCCAGGTTTATCAGAAAACATCCTCCAGCAGGTGAAGCGAGGTGAAACAGACATGACAGAAGAACTGGAGCAGATTCTCTTACAGCTGACACAGCCTGACAATGCCGTCATTCACCAGGTGACGCCCCACGCAACTTTGTTCAAGTTAACATCAGTGTGAAGAAGTTAGCTAACTAACCTAGCTAAGTGTGTGCTGACAAACTGTAAAAACACTGGGCATTATTCAGCTCCAGTGTGTTCTGTGTTGAGCTGCTGACTGTCAGTGCGGTAACTCAATGTAAAGATGGAGATTTAAGGTTGTGCCATGTGTTGCTGCCCTGTAGCCTCTGCAGCTATGTGACTGGCAGCCAGCCAGCCAGACTTGGTTAGATCACTCTTTCTTTTGTCCACTGTCAGGCCACAGCCCAGCTGAAGCAGGCTTTCAAAGATCCAGCCATTGTCCCAGCCCTGTGTGCTGTCATGACCGGCTCCCAAAACCCCCAGGTACTCGCTGTGTTTGAGTGAGAAGTTCAAATCTAAGCATCATCTCCAGAACGACAGACAAGCGACAGGTGTCAGCCATCGTCTCTGTGGCTCACTATGCATGTAAACCAGCTTTTTCCCTCTTAGATCCGTCAGTCAGCTGCAGTGATGCTGAGGCTGCGAGTGAAGAAACACTGGAGCAAGATAAGGCCGGACGACAGAGAGAGGTGTGGTCATAACTTTGTCAATGAAGTGTTTTACACTGTTGCAGCATTGTGCCCCTCCGTTAGAGTTGAAATAAAGTTGAAAATAACTTGGTGATGTCTGCTTTGCTCTGACAGCCTCAAGGCGGTGGTGCTGCAGGCCTTCGTGCAGGAAACAGAGTAAGTAATTCAGTCTTTACAGTCTTAGTTGATTATATCTGAACACTTATGATGTGCATGTAATCTCAACCCTGCCCTATTATCTCACTGTACATGATATTGTCTTGTCCATATATTGTCCAGTGTCCCCTTTGTCTTAGTCTGTTAACATGAGCTTTTCCATACTGTACCAAAAATACTTTAATCCACTTAGGTCATTATTTAATAAATTATTCTGATTCTGAATTTCCCTGGTTTAATGTATTTAAAAAGGATGTTGTCTAGACACACAGATGATACAGATGTCACTTAGAGCTTCTATACTCGTATATGAATGAATAAGTTTGGAGTCCTGTCTGTGAATCCCTTTGCAGACACACTGTGCAGCACTCGCTTTCCCAGCTCTGCGCAGTGATGGTCAAACATGAGACACCAGACCGCTGGCCTGCCCTGCTGCAGTTCCTCAATCAGGCCACCAAGAGCAGCAACCTTCATGAGAGACAGGTACAGGGAGTTGCGCCTATTTGTGGTCGGTGTTACCGTCCTTGAACGTGCATTTTTTTCAGCTGGTCTCCTATTTTGATTTGGCGCTCAGGTCGTCTAGAGCTACATGGATTGAGCCTGAGGCACGGGTGTGTGAACAGGTCCATTGCAGAGACTGTTGTCATGGCAACAGGCACATAGTGGTGCTCCTGGAAAAAACAAGCTGGTGCCAAAACTCTTCTTTGCCATTTTCTGGCAGCGTGGTTACATTTTGAAACTGAAAACACTGAGTCACTGTGTATGAAAGGCAGAGGTGACGTGTTGACGGCACAGTTGGCGAGGAATGACCAACCATCAAGCAGCTTTAGATTCAGTGTGAAATATTTTTAAGAAATCAGACTGGTGTTGAATTTGTCAATAAAATCTAATCTCTTGTGTCCTGACAGGTTGGCCTCCTGCTGCTGAACAAGGTGATGGATTCCAACCCTGAGCCTTTCAAGCCTCACTACTGCCAGCTGCTACAGCTGTTCAGTGCTGTGCTACAGGACCCCAGCAACCCAACAGCCCTGTACTACTGCATCCTCACCCTCACAGCCTTTACTGCATACACCGGCTCAGAGGAGATGGTGAGGCAGCGTGACTGTTTTCAGATTGATGTCCTGTTTTCCACAGTTTCATATAATATATAGACAAACCATTAGTAAATCAACCGTAACCAAAGCCCTAAACTGTATCTAACTTAAAGTCATTTTGAAGACATGTTTCAAATTACAGTTTACATTTTGCTGCCCAATAGACCCTGATGCGTTCGATCATCCCAAGTCTGATTGGGGCTTTGAAACACATCATCAAGGCAGATCAGGTAAATTGTGATTTGTTAAAAACATTTGATCACTGTTGCTGTTTCTGCTGTAGGTCAAGTGTATTAAAGATTATGGATGAATCAGACCTGGTCATTCATCGTGTTTCTCTTTGTCTGATCAGGACCAAGCCAGCGAGGCCATGGAGGTGTTCAATGAGCTCATAGAGAGCGAGGTGTCTGTCATCGTCCCTCACGTTGCCGACATTGTCCGTTTCTGCTTGGAGGTATGAGCTATGAAGTCTGTATTGTATTTCTCCTCTGCAATTTTCTATTCTCAACTTTTCCCTGTAACTGACAT